ATATACAAAATAAAATTTCATATTTCAAGCTTTAATAACTTTTTATATAAAATTGTGAAAAATCTGAAAATCTGTACCTGAGCTAATAACTATATAAAGAATCTATACTTAAAATTTAATAATATAATATTCATTATTAATAGAATTATAGATATCCGAAAATCACTGTTTTTGGTGTAAAAGGGTGGTCCATAAGTAGGGTAGTTGACTTAGTGCTAATTAGTGGGAGAAGACTTGGAGAAGAATTTGAATGCGTACTACAAACGCTCGCAGGCTCAAAGGATATATATAGACACACAAGATCATCCAGCTCAAACATAAATTTATTTTGTATTATTCTTTTATATTTGAATGCACAGGCCATGAGAGGCACCTTGTCCATAACATAAACATAAGCTCAGCAAGAGCTGCATTTCTAAGCGTTGCATAATGAGAATATTTAGTGTCCCAGATGCTGGATTTATGAAAAGCTTTAGAAGAGTGTTTATGCAGTGTAGGATCGATAATTTAACATTAGAAAACCTCCATCTCTAGGCAAATTTTCTCGAAAAACACTTGATAATGATTTTATTGCCTTCTATCCTTCAAAAGGCAATTGTGGCTTGAGTACTGCCAAAGCCGAGTACATAGCGATTGTTTTAGTGAAAGGAAAGGGAATTAGACATTTATCTAGTAGCTTGTTTAGATACACGAACTTGAATTACATTTTGCGCTTCCATTCGCGAGTCCTCTGACAAATATATCTGTCTAGATGTTATAATTTCTCTGACAAAGCTCAATATGAAAAGCAGAGACTAAGAACAAAGGAGTCCTAGTGCTTGTAGCCTCATCCCTCATCCCTCTTCTCGAAATCTCCGTTCCCTCTTCGTGGGAAGTAGACAAGCCAGAATACAAGGTTGTCAATAAAGGCAGCCAGATCAGATCTCAATACCTAGTCCTAATTCTCTCTCACATTGCAATGTCTTTGACTGGAAACGACAATAGTGGTATGGCGATAGATGTTGATGTTGGGAGTCACCTGGTCATCCACAAAACGTGAGTGGCTAGCGCTAGGCCGCGAATCAGAGCAGTAAGAAGAGATGAAGTGAAGCGAGAAAAGGAAGAAAAGAGTTACTCGATATATTTCGCATCCTACCCAGCCCGAGTCGTAAGGAAATGGTGCTAGTACTAGGTACAGAAACAGTTTTCTTACCCTCCAAGCACATTTAGCCCCTTCCGAACGTTGCTTTTAGCGGTGTACGAATACCATCTCTGTCTAGCTTCTCGTCAAACAAATTCGTGAATACCGGTACTGCTTCGAGCAACTGGAGCAACGAGAGCGGGACAGCTGAACAGATAGTCCAAACCCAGACATTGCGAACGGAATCTTTAGCATCATCACTTCTGAGGTTGATACGGTCTAGGATTTGCTCGTAGGCTTTAAAAGTGTTGGAGGAAGCGAATACAAGGCTTGCCTGATGGCTTTATTGGTATTGAGGTCGCATAAATATCAAGTTGGCATGTTACCCCAACGGACTAAAAGTTAGCAATGTAGACCGCACACAACTCTATCGACATAACTTACACAGCCCTTGTGCCTCATCCACCAGACGTTGTATAATTTTCTCTCTGAGCTCTTGGTTCATACGACGCTCCATTTCCGAAATGACGTAGAGTTCCAAGTGATCTCTGGGTGTCGCAACTAAAACTTTTGCAAAATCTGCCAAACGCCGCTCGATGTCTAGCTCGGGTCGCGATGATTAGATTATTTTGATCTTGCTATCTTGGATAGTGTTGAGCTCAGCTAAAAGCCGTACAAGATTCGATCGGTCATCTTCACACTCATCTTGAGCATCAATAACCTGGCCTAACATTGTTGAAGTAACGTGATATATCCCGAAGTAATTTTCAGAGATGCTCTGCTAATATTGATCTAGAATGGCTCAAATCTTTATGCGGACAATGATCAACCCAAGTCGGTTGAGCACTCATACAATCAATGTCTCTGAACCGATCGAAGACACGGCTGATGGCAGAACTACTATTTCGAGTTAGTAAAGCATTTCAGATTACAGGAATTCAACAAGCTGACATCAATATAGTTTTGCATGCTCCCCCTAAAAAGCAGAATCAGTATAAAATTTTGAGACCTGAGATAGGTCGTCAAGAAATTGAAGCAAATGCTTACAAATACCAAACAGCAACAGCCTCAATGCTTTTTATTTAAGCTAGCTTTTGATTTGATTGCCCGTGATGAACCACTGCTTTCACTAGCTAGTGTCACCAGAAGTTTCTCACAAATCTAAAGAAGTGATAGCTCCTTACCTGATCATTACCCGACTCTCGAAGCTTCTCTACAACTTTCTGATATCTTTTGCTGGGGTCAAATGGCGCTATCCATTCGATTAGCCTCTTCTGCTTTTCATCTGAAATATGTATAAGTCATAGTAAGGTAGTGATTCGTTATCAAACCTTGAAGTAACCAAACGTAACTTGTTAAGAACGCCGTATAAATAGGCCATCTGGTCGACTAGCTGTTTGAATTCATGTGCAGATCTTCGCACTGCTTTGATGTATTTGTAACCTTTTCTAGCAATCACATTGAGAATAGATGTTAATCCAGAGATGCTAGCGCTCGGTGATAGCGAATCCACGTTGTAGATACAGGTGCGGCCTAAAGTTTGAGTATATCATTCCTCATGATAACAAAACGGCTCAAGATCTTGAGTAGCCTCAATAGGTTCAAAGATTCAATTCTGTCTAGGACCTTAAAATGATAGGGGAAGAAAAGAATGCAGTGTAGTCGGGTTCAGAGGTGTAATATCGACTTTAAGAACAGCATAAAGCAGTCTCAGGCTCGAACTAAACAATAATCATGAACGGAGGCGATTCTGAACGGAGGTGCAGCAAGTACTTAAATGTCACGACAGAGAAGGTATAGCAGACACGACAGTCATGGTTCTGCAAAACAATTGAACAAGAGCTATACACAACATGACTGAGCCTTCAGAACGTCTGATCTTGCTGGTATTGTGCACGCATGGTATCAATTCGAATGATCTTCAGATGTCTTGAGGCTAACAAGACAAGACTTAGCATGCATTCGTATTGCGGTGCAGATAGAGTGAACAGCAGATAGCCAGAGATACTCTACGCCTTGAGCACTCACCATGACATATAGATTGCGATATATGAAGACTGATGTTCGACACAAGACAGAATCATAATCGGAAGGGTCAATAGTGACACATCTTTGAAAACCGAGGGAGAAGTAAGATATGAGGCTGGTTGTAAAACCAATGATTATCACAGGAGAAATAGCTGAAGGAAGACAACGGGAAACTAAACTCCAACCTGCAGCTTCCCACGTATATACAACGCAACTTCCCGATTCGGACACAACCCCACCATCCAAAGTCACAAGAAGCTGAGTTAACAGAATAAGAAATTCCATGAGTGATATTCCGCTGAATAAGCAATCTCTCCATGTTTATTGATCAATAAACAATATTTCGGTCTCTCTGATTAGTATTCAAGTAAAAGATAGCTGAAAGTCTACAGGTATGATAAGTCTTGATCTTTCTCCCTTGGTATCTAGTACTTTCTTCATTAGATAATTCAAAATGATAATGTTCACCAAATTATTCATCCTCCTAGTTTTACCTTTTCATAATCTTGCTAGAGCTACATCAACAAACTACCACATCAAATCATCCACCAACCCAAATTGCGATCACATAATAGTAGGCGGCGGATACAAGCCAGTACATGGATTCTCCCCATATATTGTCACGACCCTCGAATATCCTACAAATATTTATACTAATCTTCAAAGACAGGATTAACAATAGCAACACGATTAGCCGAGCCCAAATATCTCACCCTCTGCATAATCGAAGCCGGCGGTTTCTATAAACAAGACACCAGAAACACAAGTACGGTTCCGGGATATGCCATATATGGAAGTAATACAAATGTAGACTGCGAGAGATACTCCTGAAATCGATTGGGGATTTGTGACGGAAGAGATGACAGGGTTGAATAATAACACATTTCATTATGCGAGGGGAAGAACGCTAGGTGGCAGCTCGGCTAGGAATTTCATGATGTAGGGATGCATCATCTATCTGGATTTTGTGCACGTGTAGAAGATGCTAATTTTGAAATCCAGGTATCATCGTAGAAATACGCAAGCGTATAATATGTGGGCGGATCAGGTAGGAGATCAGAGTTATGCTTGGAACAATTTCCTTCCTTCTTCTCGGAAAAGTGTACAGTATTCGTCTCCAAATATGAGTCTTCGTGTTGCGAATGCTACTGTGCCGGCACCAAGCCGTGAGGCATATAGTCCAATTGGAAGACCGTAAGTTATGCCCACACTTTTCCAAGTAAAAAAAAACATCTAATTTGAGATAGACTCCAGGTATCTCATGCAAACTGGGCACTTCCCATATCAAGCTATGCCAAAGCAGCATTTTCATCTAGTGGCATTTATCCATTGCAAGACTTAAGCTATGGTAAAATGATGGGTACGCAGTATAGCCCATTAACATTCGGATCGCCGGATGAAAAACGTAGCTCAAGTGAATCGAGCTATCTTCATGACGCACTCGCTAGTGGAAGGGATAGTTTGAAAATCTTTACAAGGACTTTAGTAAAGAAGATCGTTTTTAATAACAAGACCGCTACTGGGGTTGTTGTGGCAGCAAATGGCATAGAATGGACGATTGAAGCTAAGAAAGAGATCATATTTTCAGCAGGCGCTGTGGGTTAATTAGTCTGGGAAAAGTTTCTTGACTAGATTTACCAGCTGGCTGACTTGTGTTATTAATTCCAATCGCCGCAGCTTCTCATGGTCTCAGGTATCGGACCTAAGTCTGTTTGCGAACCCTTGGTATTGAAGTCCTCATTGATGCGCCGGGTGTTGGTAAGAATATGTGGGATCACGTTTCCATATCAATTGTCCAGGAAGTCAGCGTTGAAACACAGAGTGGAATTTCCGTTTCAGTAAAAGCGCTGAAAGCAGCACAGGATTATGATCAGACTCATTCTGATATCTTGACGAGCAGTGGCGCCGACTATATCGGTAAGTAATTCTCCAAGTATTTCTCAAAACTCAGAGCTAAACATGAACAACCAGGATAGGAGAAAATCCCCCTACCCCAAAGGACAAATCTATCAACCCAAGCCCTAACCGACCTCTCAACCTGCCCCCCCCCCCAACTGGCCCAAACTCGAAATAGTCATCGGCGCTCTGGCCGAGTCCCCATTCCCGGACCCATCAGAGCCAACTACAGCCTAATATTCGCCACGATCGTAGCGCCCTTATCCCGCGCTTCCATAACCCTAACATCAAAGTTCAAACAACACAAACGATCTCCCCCTCATCAACCTCAACTACCTATCTCATCCCACCGACCAAGAAGTAGCCATCCAAACCTTCAAAAAAACGCATGCGCCAACTACAACTATTGAATGCGGAATCCTTTAACTAATCTTAATCGGCGAGGAAATGAAATTGCCCCAGGCTTGGCTGTACAGCTGTCGCTGATGCGCAGATTCTGGCTAGCTTAAAAGCTTCGAGGAGTCCGGCGTAACACGCTTCATATACGGTACATGTAAATATGCATTTCATAACCTAAGACCTACTCCTTATCGTTGCAAAAAGTAACAAGAGCGTGTTCTAATGAATGAATCACCACAGGCAAAATGGGCAAAGCGAGCGATCCAAACGCGGTCGTAGACGCAAGCGCAAGAGTCATCGGTGTAAATTCCCTGAGAGTTGTCGACGCGTCTGCGTTTCCTCTCTTACAAGTTACCTCCAGGACAACCACAAGCTACTATTTGTAAGTTTTACATATTGAAATACATTCTAGATATGCTGTATGGATATACTAACACTATAACTAGATGCATTTGCAGAGAGGATCGAGACGAAAACATTTCGAGGACAATAAATGTTAATTAGTTGAGGAAATCTTGTCAATCTAACCGAATAGCTGTTGTGGCGTTGTATTCTTAGCATATTATGCCCCCTAAAAGGCCTGTGCGCTCGGGTGTATTTAACGTAGATACTCTAGTAAAGTCTTAGCATATTCCTCGTATCTCCAAAATCTTGACTATTCAGCTGTTCTCAGTAATTTGCACCAGTGATGTTAACACAAATAGCACTGCCGATGATAGGATCTAAAACTCAAAGCTAGAGCTAATCCAAATAATCATTCACTGCTATTATTCGAACCCCCTTTCTACCAATGTTTGAGATTGCCGAGAATCTACGTAAAGACAACTTCACTTCTCAGCATTCACTCATCCGCGCTGAATGTTCATATTGCAAGCTCTCAGAATTTTTAATACCAAGAATATTTCATTTCTGAATCGAGAAATACATCTAATTGGGAGAAAGTCAGAAAAGACCTAGGCTTGAAAGCTTGCTGTTTCTAATACGGATTGAACTCCTCACTCTTTCAAAACACCACCTGTTAATTCCCCTCTGCCACCTTCACAACATCCACCCAACCCCTTGGTAATTTCCTCCCACCCCCTTCATATTCCTTCCCCAACCAAGCCTCAGCCTCCTTCCCAAATTCAATCAGCGCTTCTTCGCCTCCCCACTCCCCACACCCCATTATCCCCACCGGAATATTTCCTTCACCTTTCTTCGGATCTACATACCCAACCGGACAATTGATACTTGGAAGACCTGTGAAATTAGCTAACCATACGTATTCCATATTCCTGAGACTTTTATTTGGATCAAATGCTCCGTGTTGTAAATCTCCTTCATGTTCTATCTCCCATCCTAGAATTGGTGTAGTGGGAGTGACGATGATGAGACCGGGGTGCTCTTGAAAGAGGAAAGATAGATGCTGCATAAGAAGATTGCGTAGTTGTTGAGCGAGGAGGTAATCTCGAGCTGGGGTATATTCACCCATTGTAAGAAGGATCTTGTTTGAAGGAGTGACATCCTGTAACCAATTCGATGATGAGAATGGACGAGTCTTTGCCCGTGAGGCCATTTCCGCAAGAATAGTCATGGCGTGAGCAAGTTGACCTTCAGGACAGTATGGAATTGTGATTGGGACAATTGTGTACCCAAGAGATTTCTCACAGTGGTTCACAAATTTGGTACACAGAGCTTGGACCGATGGTTCAGCTCGATTGAACCAATCTTTATAAATTCCGATAACCTTTGGGCGTGCAGTGCGGAGAGGTTCTGGTGGATTGAAGAGCGCGGCAATCGGATCGGATGGATTAGGCTTTGCCATGACTCGATAAGCCACTTCGAGATCCGCCATAGTTGCTGCAAGAGGACCATTTACAGTAACGGTGCTACCGGTATCCTCAACCCGTGCATGTGAAGGTTTCAGACCATAGACACCACAGAAAGAGGATGGAATGCGAATGCTTCCGCCCCCATCTGAACCGAGAGCGAAGGGAATCAACCCGGCAGAAACAGCATACGCAGGCCCTCCGGAGGAGCCACCGGGATAATACTGGTCATTGTGTGGATTTCTCGGAGTTCCCCAATTGGGGTTGTTATTTGTAGTATCCGCTCCAAGCTCGTGCATATTCAACTTTCCCACAATAAGAGCACCAGACTTTTCCCATTGCTGAATGATCCAAGTAGACTTTTCCGCGGTGGGGAAGACTGAATCATTTTTTTTACGTCCTTGGTGACTTCTATATCCTGTGACATCACTGTCATCTTTGATACCGATGGGAACTCCATCGAGTATACTCAAAGGATTGCCTTGTTGGTACCGCAAAGTTGATGCTTTCGCAGCTTCGAGTATTTCTTCAGTATTGCTATCAGTAAATGCAACGGAATGAGCTCCTAGTGGACTGATGTCTCGTCGAATTAGTGGAAGAAGTGATTCCGCAACAGCTAGTGGGGTTAATTTTCCGGTGCGATAAAGGGCATGGTATTCAGCCACCGAATGATATCGTTCAGCCGAATCTTCTGGGACGACAGGAACAGATTTGATGTCCAAATCATCTGAAGTTGGTATGGTCGGTGTATTGATCGCGAGAGGAATTACCGTAGGCTGTTTGGATTCTGTCAACATCCATCCACCCTATCGAATGAAACCCCGCAACTTACATCCCACCTCTCATAATAATCGTCCAATCCTTTGATATTCCTCAACGCATCCATTTTCGCATTACGCCAGAGGGGTCCTTGAATGAACCCAATTTTGGAAACACTTGGGGAAGTTAGTGATGCTGAGCCTTCGCAGGGCTAAAAGTATCATACAGCCATCCAACCACCATCAAAAGCAATCCTCGAAATGCAGGATTCTTGTCATCCGCCCTTACAAAAGGTATATCGGGACCTTCTTTGGGGGAAGGATAGCCAACCCATTTACGTGACTCCTGGTTTGGTTCAACCATTGCAAATAGTTTGTTGCAGTGGGAGGAGGTAAATGAAAAGAAAGTGGAGGTTGATTGGGGAGGAAGCACAGAGATTATGAAATCACGTGGATGGCTCCGAAGTCTGGTCCGTATTAAATTTCTCAGATAGTCATTTGGACAATCATCGGATTAGATGGAATGCATGGTTGAGGCTGAATAGTTTCCCAATCGCGGAACATTAAACGATGTCTTAATCACAATATCCATTCTATCCAATGGATTCCAATACAGCTTCACAACATGGCTTCGAGAATCAATATTCATATATTCTTTAAACTAATTTATTGGTATATTTCTGATGGAGTCTGGATCCTATGACAAATCACCATTCCGAGACCTCCCCCGGCTTAGGTTTCTCGACTCTCACAACCTTATCTGGATTCAACAAGCACAATGGATCGAATGCGAATTTCAACTGTAAACTATTAGTATATACGTTTCAACGAAATTTTGAGGTAATTGGGGCACATACTCTTCTCATAGCATCAACTGTGGTCTCGCCCAACTCATGGTTCAAGTAGTCTCTCTTGATCAATCCAACTCCGTGCTCACCAGTCACAGTGCCCTCCATTTCCACGGCTCTCTTGGTCATTCTGTGGATGACTTCTTCTGCGGTTTGTCTTTGGGTATCATTGTAAAGGATAATAGCTGGGACTGTTAGTATAGCTCATGATAAGCTGCCATCAATGGGAATACTAACCGTGAAAGTTACCATCTCCAACATGTCCCACAATAGAAGCAAACATTCCACTCTTAGCCAAGTCCAATTTCGTCTCTTCAATGATTTCCGGTAATCGACTTATCGGTACAGCTACATCTGAAGTCCATACATGATCACCGTCCTTTTCCCGCATGGCCATCACAGACCACAAAGCTTCTTTCCTTGCACTCCATAGTTCAACCTGTTCTTCTGCATTCTTAGCAAATTCGAAAGTCTTACTTCCAGTTGCTTTTGCTAACTTCTGAACGATGCTAATCTGCTCTTTTACAGCATTAGGTGTGCCGGCAAATTTGAAGAAGAGTGTGGGGGCTTCGAGCCATGTTTTGGTTGTCATGCCCGACTTATTGATGCTCAGCATTTGATTATCATCCAAGATCTCGATGGCGGCAATTGGTACGCCCTCGGTAACAACCTTTCCGACACAATCGGCGGCTTGTTTGATGCTTCCGAAACTGCATACTGCTACACTGGTAGTATTTGGCTTTGTAGTGATCTTCAATGTAGCCTCAGTTACTAGCCCGAGTGTTCCCTCACTCCCAATAAACATCTTAGTCAAATCATACCCTGCACTACTCTTTCTCGGCCTTTGCCTCGTCTTGATAATCGTACCATCTGCCAGGACGACAGTCAAATTCATTACCCATTCCCTCATAGTACCATACCTGTATGCATTTGTTCCACTGCATCCTGTTCCCACCATTCCTCCAATCATGGCACCTGGACCTGGATCTGGTGGAAAGAATAGATTATCCTTTGCCAGCTCTTCATTGAGAAATTCCCATCCTACCGCCGGCTGAACAACAACGTCCATATCATCCTTATGTAGCTTCAAAATATTGTTCATCCTTCCAAAGTCTATGCAAACACCACCTCGGGTGGGAGCAAAATGCCCCTCTAAACTCGTACCTCCACTGTATCCAGTAACGGGTATCTTCCTCCTATGGCAAATCTTCATGATCTCACTAACATCCTCAGTTGATAATGGGGAAACTACCATAAATGGTACCTCGTTTGCCTTTCTCAGATGAGAGGACCATTCGCTACCTGAATGGCTCTCAAGATCTGATTCGATAGTAGAAACATTTTCCTTGCCCACTATCTCGATAAAATCCGCCCACGCAGATTCGAGATTTGAACGGCCTATATTGTGTCGGAGAGGTTTTGTGGTCGAAAGAGGAGTAGTTGAAGTCGTAGGCACACCGGGATTCCTGAACGAGCCGAAGTAGTACCCTCCTATAGCTACTGACACAATAACTGTACAATCGAATCATCAGCAGGGATCAATATGCCATCAATATTCCTCAAGAAGGTATCTGCGCACCGAATGTTAAAGCCGAATTCCTTCCTCCAGAACTTTCATTTCTATTCTTAGAGTATTGTTCCCTCTCTGCGCGCTCTTTTATTAATCGCGCCTGAGTACTTTCGTAAAGTTGCCCTTTAAAAGAACGACCTTCTTCTGGGTTTTGCTCTGTGGATGCATATCTTAATTTGATTGCGGAAGATCGGAGACAAGATTGGGATCTAGAAGACAATGTGCGCAAGCTTGACAGCAGGGCCGCTGAGGGAGCCCTTCGAGAGAACGACATATATCAAATATCAAATGATTTCAGGGAAGCTGGCATTGAATTGGCAGATTACCAAAAACAGTTTTCGTTGATTTTTGGTGGTTTGCGCAGTGGTATATATGTACTGCCAGTGAGTACTCATTGTACTGAATTCACAAGGCTCGGGAAATAATTTATTTATGTGAGGATACCATGGAAGGCTTGGGACTCCCCCACATTTTCAGCACGTAATCCATTGCGTCGATTGCTCAGTCCCTCAGTCCAGTCATGATACCGAATTACCTACTCGAGACTCGAGTAGATAACAACTGAAAATGGGGGTGGTTGTCATGATGTGGTTGTCATGATTGTGTTGACACGATGATTTATAACATTACTAAGTAGTATTGTTCATTAAAGTAAAAAGTTTTTAAGATTTATAATTTATTCACTTGTACGGAACCAGAGCCTTGGGTTTAAAGTAAAATGTGCGTAGACTATCAGCCTACTATCCCTTTATATTCATTTCGATTCGTTCCGAAATAGTATGCTTTTACCATCACTTTAGAACGCCCCCATGATCCTTTCCTCCCAAACAATGAGCAAATCACCAGCAAACCCTTGATCCCTATCGAACACCACCTTAACCCCAACCAGCAACAATAGCTCTCCCTGTGTTGTCTAGACATTCTTCCATGCATTGAGCAACTGAACATTAAACATCGGCTTAACACCACCCATTGCCAAGTAGGCATCTAATTCGTCGTCATTGTCAATGGGTATTGTCATTTCTTGATCGGGTGGTCCCATGCAGCCCTCAACACGACCAGTGTATGTCCCAGAAAATTTGGAGGCAGCCAATCGGCGTATTTCATCAAGAGTAAATGCGTTCAACGTGCCAATCCATAATCTGTTGGGGGTTGTAATTTCTGAATTCGGGTGTAGCCGAAAGTAAACAGCCACTGATGAGGGCGTTGCTGATGGAAATGCTTGGGCTGCCTGGGCGACATATTGTTGATCCGTATATTGGGTTTCCGCAAACTGATTCTGCATACTACGATTCATCAAACCAGGATTGTTGGCACCTCCAGAGAGTAGTGATGGATCGATCTGCATATCCACGTGATTCCCCATAATAGGTGTATGAGCCTGAGATTGAGGTTGGACCTGAGCTTGTGCCTGGGCGTGTGCTTGAGCTTGAGCTTGAGCATGTGCGTGTGCGTGTGCTTGTGCCTGAGCTTCAGCCTGAGCTTGAGCTTGAGCATGTGCGTGTGCTTGTGCCTGAGCTTCAGCCTGAGCATGAGCCTGAGCCTGAGCCTGAGCATGAGCATGAGCCTGGGCTTGAGCCTGAGCTTGGGCTTGAGCCTGATGAGCTTGTGTTTGCGCTTGTACTTGTATATGAGATTGAACTTGATTCTGTGAGTGAGCATGAGCATGAGCTGCCGTCTGAATAAGTGCATCATCCTGTGGATCCTGATGGAAACTTGGTGATCCCTCTTCGTTGTCGTGGAATTGGTCCATGGTTTGATCAGGTTGGAAAGTACTATCAAACTTCTTTCTTCTTGTTGGATCACGTTTGGTCTGGTCATCCCGAAGACGCTTCATGACGTCCCGACACAAAACCTCCATTGCCTTGACCTTCAGAGGATGCTGAGGATCAGAGTCTCCCGGCGCAAGAAGATTCTGCAATAGCTCCGAGCCATTAATCCAGGACTCTTTAAGTTCTTTCCAATGCTCTTCTCCGGCTTCAAGCTTACTGGTGAAATGATCAGCTTTCAGTGTCTGATAGAACGCATTACGAAGCTGCCTGGACTCCTCAGGATTTACTCCCAGTGCATTCTTCGCTTCGGCGATAGTCATACGACGCAACAGGGTTCGCATTCGCTTTGTTACATCGCCACAAACAACGTCGAGAGCTAGCTTTTTTGCATCCTGATTGTCTTCATTATTCCAGAAAACTGATTGCAGATGTTCACTCTCTTGTATGAGTCTATCCTTTGCAGCTTCCCAAACCTCGGGTCCAGCAATTGTCTTCTTTATGATGCGTGCTTCTTCACATATGCGTTGAAATCGAGCCCTTATATCCCGATATAAACGATTATCGAGACTCAGGAAGGACTTGCTTTCATCGATAGTTGTTTCGGAGGGGAATCGAGGAGGTCCTGGAGGATCTGCCGGAAGACCAGCCCAACCACGAGTTCGACGACGGCGTTTGCGAGAGGCCCATCGATCTGCAGATTCGGCTTGTAACTTGGCCAAACGCTCTCGTCTCTTTGCCATAACCTGCGGACTAAGTGGTGGAGATGCAGCTCTCGAGCTGTGCTTAGGAGTGGTTAAAGTGGGTGGTAAGTCTTCCATATGCTCTTCCATCTGCGGTTCCCCTTCCAGTAATTGTCCATTGTTGTAGAGTGCTTGTTGTAATTGATTTTGTACATCTTGATCATATAGTTTCTTTGACTTCATTCCGTTAGGTTCTCGTAACAACCAGCGATACTTAGTTCTGACGCGCATAAGTTCACGCTCCTTGATGTCGAATCCTTCTTCGTTGAGAATGCGAAGCATTTCGCGCTGTGATGTATTGCAATCCCATAATTCCTTCACGCGTTGAACGAGTGCTGTATTCTTGTGTGCGGGGTTTTGTTTTGAAGGAAAGTCCCATCGTTTGAATTGAGTTTGAAATGCACGTTTACTAATAACGGTCGGTCAGTCAATCAGTCAATGTCAGTGCAAATGGTAGTACGGGTGTGCATATCAATATATAATGCCTGGTCCTGGATAGGTTGCTATAGGTCGCAGTGCAAACAAGATATCAATCAACATTTAACTTACGATGGATTAAAGGAATATTGTTCTTTCATATATTCCATAATTTCCTCCAAAGATTTCTTTTCCTCAATGTACATGCGATAGCATATAGCTTCTTTGTTTTCCCAATCATACACCATCTTGACTGTTGTTCCCTATTGTCTTCAGTATAAAAATAAGTATGATAACTCGGGATTGAGTCGTTGGTTTGATGGTACTTGAAGGTTGCCGTTTGGTTGCCGTTGATTGCGTTGATGATTTTGTAGGTCGCCGTTTTTCCAAGAAAGAGAAAGAGACAGGTTGTTGATGTTGGGTGAACTCGTTAATATATGGTATGCGGTCACATGATCGATTAGTCATCTATTGTACAACCAAGACATCGAGGGGAGAAGAAACATTGCTATTTTCCTTGAATTCAATTGGATTCTAGATAGACTTACCTTGATTTTTGTTCACATCAACTCGATTTCAACTTGATCAGAGTTCTATTCTACTCTATTCAACCATATATTACTGATATAGGTATCTACAGGTGCATTCTACTGTATAGCTACCTAAGCAACCTTCCCTCGAAATTGCAAGCTTCATAGATTCTAAGATCTACATATATCCCCCTTTGTTGCTATTCTTCTTACAATATACGAGTAAAATCCGATAAACTCAATCGCATTGCACTTTACAACACGGTGTTGAACCCAGTATCTCAGTCGTATCATACATTTGATTTCTCAGAAGATACTTCAATTTGGTGAAAGTTAGCTGCTACATTCGTCATTTAGCGTTGTCATCTCGAATTGTTGGATTCGCTGCCTCTCAGTTCTTCCAATCACCAAGTTTGTGATTGAGCTAAAGTATCTGGGATTAGCCTTTTTGCGTTACTTCTCGTAGTATCCTCATCATCGACTCTTCAATCCAGAACTCTTGCTACAGATTTGCTTCTACTTTATCACCACATACACCATGTCTCAAACTTTAGACATCCAGCTGCAAAATCGTTATCCTTCAGACGAAGTCTTTGCTTATATCACAGGCTTGGCACTAAACAATAACAACCGCGTCTTTCTATTGAAAGCCGATGGCAAGACGCCATACTACCCCGACTCGCCACCACATACTGTACATCCACTTTCAGCAGACTGTGCTATCAAACTAGGAAAGCAAGGCAGCACGACTATTGCTACGATTCCTCTAATTGCTGGAGGAAGGATTTGGTTCTCTATTGGAAAGAAATTAGAGTTCTTCGTCAACCCAGGACCAGCATTGGTTGAGCCGTCCGTTACCAATCCTTCTGATCACAATATTGATACCAATTGGGCATTTTGCGAGTTTACATTCAATCAAACTCAGATATACGCCAATATAAGGTTGTTTTGTCCACAATAGGTTGCCGTTTGAGATCGCTAACGTGCAACAGCTATGTTGACTTTATTAGTCTACCAATTTCTATGAAACTCATTCCTGAAAACGGCGGGCCACAAGAAATTCATGGTCTGAAATCAGATGGCCTAAAGACTATTTGCGAAGGTCTAAAAGCACAAAGTGAAATTGATAATGCAGGGTGGGATAAGTTGATTGTAGAATCTGGTGGCCAAAGACTTCGAGCATTGAGCCCTAATCACGAAAAAGGTTTCAATGGCTACTTTGAATCCTATGTTGATGAAGTATGGAACAAATATACTAAAATGCCACTAATTGTTGACACACAAGCCGAATGGGGGAAGGTTGAAGGTTGGATATCTAGCGGACAATTAACCTTTCCCGGTCTGGCAACTTTTTCGAAGCCATCGACTGCAGATATCTTCAGTTGTAGCTCTGGTCCATTTGCCAACAATGCTGGAGCGACAGGGCCACTCACAGCTCGCATAAGTGCAGCATTGAATCGATCGACGCTGTTAAGCAATAATTGTCATCCAACCAACGAAAGGGTATCAGAGTATTATCGCCACAAAATCACCAACCACTATGCCCGACTCGTTCATGAGGCAAGCCATCATGGTCGGGGATATGCCTTTCCTTATGATGACGTTTCGCCTGGAACTGAAACCGATCAATCTGGATCCGTAAGCGGTTGGCCAAAGTCATTCACCGTATCTATCGGTTGAGAATGAGCGTAATCCGACTCAAACCGCGTCGTTATTTTTGATCTTGCAGGAATACATTTGTCGGTCCTTGCCAAATAACGCCAATCGAACCCATCTATCAGCCAGTCCAAAAGCCAATTTGGCAATCAGTGTACTCGCATAAACCTGCTTGCGATGTCATAGGAATCAATTTTGATTTGGGAAGAATAAAAACCGGATGGATGAAACTAGGACCGTAATGATATTATCTCCATTCAATTTTATAAATGAGCGACCGAAGGACGTGATACTGCGATAGATAGCAACGCGAATGATGGATTTTGAACTATATATACCATCATCTATCAGCCATGTCACGAATCGATTCTCTTCTTCAAGTGAAGTTCATCTATCCTCCACGCGCAAAATGTTCCGACGATTATGCACATAAGTATCACACTATTATCGCTTCCACCTTGCAACCTTTATCCCTTCGTTACACTCTGTGCACCATATTATAGCCACAAAAGCTAGTGCCTTGCTAGGCTTCATGTATATTCATCCATCATTATCAATAACTTCACGTTTATATTCCACACTCCGCATTCCGCTGTCTGTAGTGAATACAAGTTGAACTCAAACCTTGGCGAAGACTCGAAGTGTGAGAGACGGTGATCAGTTTATTATTATATAGTGCAGTGATTTTAATACATGATATCCTTTTACTGTAGCGATATTCAAATGAGATAGCACATACTGTAGTTCTAACACAATCTTACACACACACACTCTCTCTCTCTATTCAATCGCAATTTTTCTTCTAAGATGAATTTATGTATAAATCCCTCCCTACATGATTATAAATTCGCTTCAGCCCCCTCCTCCCTCTTCCTCTTTTTCTGCAGGACCCCCTCTCTTCTCCCCCATTGAGCCTCGACAACAACTTTCTCGAACTTGGAACTTTTGATCGATGGATTCGCCCCGGAGAAATCATATCATATCATATGGTTTATATGGATGTAGATGTTGATGTAGAAATTAGTTAAAGATTTGGGATTTTTCTGAATCTTGCGTGTGTGCGTGCGTGCGTGCGAAATAGAAATTGAAATATAATGTTAGACATTGATTAGATGGTAAAATGGTGAAATGGTGAAGTGATTAAATGATGGAGAGATTTGAGGGATTAAGGAATTTAGGGTTGGGGGTGGAGGGGTTTCTGGCTTGATGGGATGGGATGGGATGGGATGTATGTACATACAGACATGTGTATATATATATATGAAGTTGAGACTGAAGCTTAAGTACTATGAGTAGTAATACTCGTATTTTGAAACTGGTGAGGAAGGGGTTCGGATGTGGGGTTTGCAGAGGAGAGAGAGAGAGAGAGAGAGAGAGAGAGAGAGAGAGAGAGAGAGAGAGAGAGAGAGAGAGAGAGAGAG